CAGAAATGCCCTTCACTTGTTAATCGGAAAGGTATTCTTCTCCACGACAATGCACATCCACATGAGGCATATTTGATACAGCACAAGATTATTGAGTTGGGTTGGAAAGTTCTCCCCCACCCACCATATTCTCCAGATATGGCACCATCAGACTACCATCTTTTTTGTTCACTGCAACACCATCTTAAGTGGAGAATGTATGCAAATGTGGAAGGTGTTAAAGAGGACTTTGACATATTTTTTTGCTTCAAAACCTAATACTTAAAGTAAGGTAGTGGCAATCAAATATCAATCAGTATTACAGATATTAGCCTATATGATTGCTTAAAACTAATTATTTATTAATTACTAATTTGTTTACACTGATTAATTAGTTTCTGTCCAATGTGTCAGCTAGATGATGTGTCAGTAGTTTCTCTTGGTGATATGTGTGAGTGATAGAAGATGATGTGTCAGTAGTTGTTCTTGGTGATATGTGTGAGTGACAGAAGATGATGTTTCAGTAGTTGTTCTTGGTGATATTTATGAGTGACAGAAGATGATGTGTCAGTAGTTTCTCTTGGTGATATGTGTGAGTGACAGAAGATGATGTGTTAGTACTTTCTCTTGGTGATATGTGTGAGTGACAGAAGATGATGTGTCAGTAGTTGTTCTTGGTGATATGTGTTGAGTGACAGAAGATGATGTGTCAGTACTTTCTCTTGGTGATATTTATGAGTGACAGAAGATGATGTGTCAGTAGTTTCTCTTGGTGATATGTGTGAGTGACAGAAGATGATGTGTCAGTAGTTGTTCTTGGTGATATGTGTGAGTGATAGAAGATGACACACTCATAAATATCACCAAGAACAATACTGACAACAGAAGATGATGTGTCAGTAGTTGTTCTTGGTGATATTTATGAGTGACAGAAGATGATGTGTTAGTAGTTTCTCTTGGTGATATATGTGAGTAACAGAAGATGATGTGTGAAGAGTTTTTCTTTGTGATATTTTCAATTGACAGAAAAAGTGCTTATGCCGTGTTTTTGTAGCGTTTTTATTGAGTGACTGAAGACAGATTTTCATAAGTTTGAATCTTTGTTGAGTAATTACACTGTATTAAGCATTTTACATAATGGTAAGAAATATTTCAAGTTTGCCATATGTGATGTAAGTACCACAGCTAAAATCTATTCACCTAAATATATTGGCAGAGCTTAAAAAAATTCTCAATTTGGATAAGAGTGTAAAACTGCTATCCTATAGTGCACATAAATTCATGTTTTTACTGGAACTATTCTCTCCTTTTTATATCAGATTTAAACTTTTTGGCCTATTCAGTGTTTCAAATAACTACAGATGTACATATTTTATTCTATGGATTGGAATAAGGTTTTCTTGGAAAATTCATAAGTAGTTTTGTAAAATAAATATGTCTTGGCTGAAATAGTGTTAAGATTTAGTATTAATGCTTGATTTGTGTCACACATCATTTAAGTTTTTATTAATATGTTTTATCTTGTACTTTGATGAAAATGACAGCAACTGTTTATTTTTCTTCTGTTTAAAGGCTCTGCTGTCATTGATCTACTTGTGTTCCAGTGATATCTATGCTCTAATAAACTATGTTGGGTTTGCTACTTGGCTAGCTATTGGCTTAGCAGTTGTCTGCCTTCCATACCTTCGCTGGAAAATGCCTAACCTTCCTCGACCAATCAAAGTAATTTTTTTTATTGTATTTGAAAAAGACAAATATTAAGAACCCTAATTGCCCATTATATTGTTGTGTGAAATGGGCAAACTTTGCAAGTGAAATGTTGAAGGAAAATCATCAACTTTCCCATAAACATTACAAATATCATAAATATAATGTTTCACTTTGTTCTAACTTCATATATCATACTTTAATTTTAGCCTAAAAATTAAGGTTTCAGTTTCTTATGAACTATATTTCACAATCTAACATTATTATTTTTGTTTCTAGCAAGAGCCTATTAAGAGTAAAGTCCATACGAAGAAGCACAATCATAGTTTTAAGATTCAAATATAAGATTGTGCTACTTATTACTGCAGTTTTGTGTACTCATTTATAATAATTAAAATAATGCAGTAGTAGTATATAGATGTTCACAGAATTGATACACAAATATTATTCTTGCACCTAAATTAACTTAGGTTACTATATGGTGAGTTAAAAAGGACTCGAAGCTTCATAAATATTGTTCATAGAGGATGTTGTGTTGCTCATTTATGTAGCTTTCTTACCCAATGATAATTTGACATAATATAATCTATGGACAACAAGGGAGTGATTGATCCTTCAAGGCTGTTTTTACACTTCAACCTTTGGGAAAAGTAAGAACTTAAACCCATTCTTTACTTTTCAGGTAATCATTGATTCTCCCTCTTAACCTCCTAGAAAGTGCCTGCTTCCATTAATGCCAAATACAACTCATTCAATAAGTCAGTCACCCTGTTATATAAATTAAATAGTCTTAACTGGATCATAGTTTGTTTTTACCAATTCTTAAAATTGTGACCTCATCCTCTTCTCTTGTCAATCTCCCAGATAATCTTTTAAACTTCAATAAGACCACTTTTTACCCTCTTAAACATTTTGGGGAGGTATGTGGTAACAAATGTTGAATTTTAGAAATAGTTTTATTTCAGATACGTGTACAAATAGTGTTTCAGATCTATCTTTTGTCACCCATACGTCGTTGTCCACAAGGCATTTCCTCAGTATTATAACTAACTTAACACTTTTGATTTTGAACCCAAAATATACAAATTAAGAAGAATGTGCAATAAACTTGTCTGCAGATTTTTAACACAAATGGATGTATTGATTTCCACATTCACAATTTTATTTGGTGAAATGAAATCCTTTACTGAATGGTTTGTTTATTTAAACTTATATTGTCATTTTGTTTATCTTGTAGATTAGCAATTCTCTAGTGCTAAAACAATTCTTTTGACTAGAACATTTAATATAATTTGATCTATTTGAAGCTAAAACTAAATATCTAACGTTCATAATATACACACACACACACATATATATATATATATATACTAATACCATAAATTAAAAGTACAATCTGCTTACAACATAATGCTTGGAAAACGATGACCTAGTGCTTGTTTCTTTTTTTTTCAGGTAAACCTAGTATTCCCTGTGATCTACATTTTGGCTTCAGTATTCATTACAATTGTTCCCATGATAGCTGATCCTGTAGGGACAGGTAAAAAGTATTTTCTTTATCTTTTTTACTTAACAATCAATAAAAATATTAGTTTAGGTGTGATAGTTTATAAAAAGTGTTATTAACTAATAGTTCATGTACTATACCACGATTAAATGTGGAAACTATAAACCTTGAAATTATTTCTTCTGCAGGATTTGGAGTTCTCATCATTGCAACAGGATTACCGGTTTACCTAATTTTTATCTATTGGAAGAAGCCTAAGCCAATCCAGAATGCAATAGGTAAATTATACACACTTGTAATGATGTCACTGATTTTTAGTGTGGCTTTTACTTGTGCTCTTTCATATACTGCCCCCCAGTGGCACAGCGGTATGTCTGTAGACTTACAATGCTAGAAACCGGGCAGAGCACAGATAGCCCATTGTGTAGCTTTGTGCTTAACTTCTAAACAAACAAAACAAACTTTAATACACTAGTACTGTTAGTAGAAATTATTTGTTTTGGTTCTTGTAATAGACTTGGAGGTGTTTTTTTTTAATGATTTTATTGAGCTAGTTTTTAAAACAACAGTATGATAGCTATCTAGCTAGAAATTTTAAATGAAATTATTGATTTTTTTCCCCCAGATAAAATCACTTTATTGCTGCAGAAGGTACTTCTTGTTGTCCCATCAGAACGACCAGAAACTTTGTAGCATCAGTTGCTTCTTTTAGTTGCATAGAAATTGTGGACACCATGAGTTATAACTAATTGGTCTGTATCTATTTGGTTACAAGAAGTTGTGAAACTTATCTAAAACTGGCTCTTTCTATAGAGAATTATTTTATAACATATTGGATAGCTACAAAAAATATCATTGTGAAAATTTAACTTCCAAATATGATTTTTTTTTAAGTTTATGAACCCAGAGAAAAAATTTTTGACTATCAGAAAATAAAGAGCACAGAACTAAATTTCAGTTATTTTACAGTTCTTGGTATTATTAGCAGAGTAACTTGAGTTAATCAGAATAATAGTTACTACTAATGTATGAAAAGAAATTATGGTCAAGATACTTTATTAGCTTTTTTATTCCTTTTTGTTATAGTTGCATCTGGAAATAAAATGATAGGTCTCTTTTCACCTAAATGTCTTTTCTAGATTTTTCAAACGTGTAGTAATAGAAACTTAGATTATGATAGGAGACAATATTCTGAGGTATGGAAACTTTTGATGTGTTGCTGTGTTTGTCTTTATTCCCTTAATATTTGAATTATATTTTTTGCAAAGTTTGTCACATTACCTGTTTTTTTATAAGCATTCTTAAAGGAAGAAATGATAAAGTGACCAAGATGTATCAGTTCTGCAAACAGGAATTAAAATCTCCCATAGTCACAGAAAATAGAAGTATAACAATGTTTTAGCACAGGAATTTTTTTCATATCCATGACCCAAGAAACTTGCAGTTTTGAAATTATTAAAATATCTGAAACAAGGTCTTATATTCACCAAATTTGTAATATATAACTCTTTGCTCATGATTGTACATCCAGAAATTAGTAACATTTTATTTTTCTTTGTAGGTTGAAGTATTTTAATCAAGAAAAATATATTAGACTGGCAAATTTCTTCATTAATGTTCTAACAGTGTTGAATTTGCTGAAGTACCATTAACAGTTTTGTTTTAACTGCAAGAATTTTGTAGGGTAAAAGAGAAACGTGACTTTACTTTGGAATGTGAATTTTTGTAGATATTTTTCTAACAGTACCATATATATATATATATATATATTATTAATAAAATTAATGTGGTGAAGAAGTACTTTCTAAATCAATATTGTCACGTTTTTAAAACATTTAATTTATTTGTTAGTATAGCTCTCATAAATAACATTTGAGTAGAGCATGGTTTGCTTGATATAGAATTTAATATTGGTATTTGAATTACTCCCTATAATGTGCTAAGTCAGCTTTTGATTAAAAACTATTCCAATTAAAAATATATATATTAAAGTAAGTCTTACCAGAGTGATATTTTCACACTTAGTTAATATGTTTTTATATTTAAATTAAAAATCCAATTTCAATATCAAAATATTTTAAAATCAATACTTCAAACACTACCTCCTAAAATACCCTCATAGTTCCAGATGTCTCTTTTGGTGGTTTAAGAAGTACACATGAACATAGCTGTTATATTTTAGTAACAATAATAAAAGCATTTAATTTTATAAGTTGTTATTGTTCAGTTGATACTTGTCATGATAAAAAAGAGAATACATGTTATGTATCCTCTATTTTATGTTTTAGGAAAAGTATGCTTTTTGAACAGAAGTTGTGTTGTACCATATGGTTCCACAGCAGGCTGGTGTTATTAGATATTTTTTGTGAATGTGGTAAAATAATACAAACTTAGAAAGTGGTGGTTGTAATGTTTTGCACGTTTTTGTGTTAAGTTACTTTAATTGGAACATGCTGTGAAAGGAATAGTTATATATATAAAATGCTTCTTCTAAATGGTAAGCAAACATGCTCTTTTCTCTGAAACTTTGTAACATTTAAGAGATGCCATTTTTCTTTCTGTTTCGTCTGGACTTGCTCTTTTAGTTGTTAAATAAAATACTAATTCAAGATGTTGTCGCAGTTATTTATTTGACCTCACTAGTGAGTGTCAAATATATACAGTATCAAATTCATAAAACCAACAAGTATTTTGTTGTTAGTTGAGTAAATGAATAAGAAATTAAAAGCATGGATGAAAAAGAGAGAACAAAACAACATCACCACATTAAGGTGACATCACAAGTTGATATAAAAAAAAAACATCGAGACACAGCACACTAAATACACCAAGATCGTGTTGTCATATGATTATAAATATCAAAATAAATAAAAACGAACTCCTGTCACTTTTAATTCTTTAACTATGATAGCTTCCTGAAATGTATCTATATTTATGATTTTTATTTTCAGTAAAAACAGGAACTTTCAAAATTTGTGTAATGTGTGCAGTATCATGGTCTTCCCGTGCGGGGGAGCATGCCTATTGTGGCTGGGCCTCTTTGCTGGTGGTGGAGTGTGTCTTTGTGGTGGTCCGGAATTAAACCAAAAAGAAAAATACTCAAGCAAGCCAGGGATGAAGGCCTATACACAGTATGTCTCCACAGAGAAAGGTTTTTTGGGGCTTTTATGTCTCCCGGATTCCTCTTTCCACATGTAGTAATTCCTAAAATCCTATAAATCATAAAAAGTGGGGCGAATAGGGAACACCTCTGATTTATTTAAAAGATAAATAATATCAGATAACATTCTTGTTAACAGAACAAATTCCCAGAGGTGGTAAATAGTTCGTGTTGTGTGTGGCATGCACTTCTGCCAGCATGCAAGTGTTGCAGCTACGTTTGGAAACTGGGCGGATAAAGATTAATGATTTTGTAAATGGTGGTTGAAAGTTTTATCATTCGATCTTTAACAGGTTGATTACAACAGACTTTATGGAGATAAATCCCGGTTGCATAAATCGATAATCTGTATGCTGTTAGAGGCGTCGCTAGATTCGGGGCTCGAGCCCACAAACGCGGTAATTTTCGACGTTTCAGTATGATATCGATCATAGTTTTTTATTATGAGTTTTCAAGACACCAACTAGGGATTTGGGGCACTGTCAACTAGAATCAGGGCAAGGGCCCCGTGTGCCAGCGCCTAGTGATGCCTCTAGCTGTTGTGATTGTAGTGATTTAAACAGGTTATTGGTCGTGTCACGTGTTATCGTATGTTTTATATATATTAACAAAATATTTTTAGCGTTACGTCCTCTTAGCCTTCAGTTGTCTGAAGTATTTTAGAAAAGTGGCTATTCCGCGTTGATTGTTTACTGAAATATATTCCGAAGAACGTGTAAAAGTTCGACAATTGAATTGCTGTATAACATAATTTAAGTTTGACCTTGATTACCTTTTGAACGTTTCTTTTAAGTGGTTTACGGGAAGCTATCATTTGTGGATTTGAATTTACTCTCCAGGCATTACACATTCAAAGACATGATGTAACGCTGTTTGAACTTTTGCTGCTGCTAGATGTGGATCACGTGACGTGCCCCATATATCTATGTCGTTCGAGTATTGTGATTCCAACGTGTATGTTAAATATTATTAACAAAGTATATATATATATATAATAACGGTACGCTTGCCTGTAATGAAAACGCCGCTGATATTAAGATGTTTATTCTGACTTTGGCAGTGTGATTAGATAAGAAGTTGGAAACCCAACGATTTAGGGTTCTTATTGCCGCAACGACAGTTTGTTTCCCAGGACATTTATGCACTTTCCTTGAAAGTAACCTCTAGACCTAAGCACTTGTATGAAACCAGACCCAGGAGAGTTCACGGACTTCATGAAGAAAGGTGAGCAGGAGCCGAACCATAGGACACTGTGCTGTAAAGCAGTGCTTCTCAACTGGTTGTATGGTTCACCCAGGGGTTAATGAGATCAGAATCAGGGTGAATGATAATGATGAGGTGAATGACTGTTATCGATTATACAAATTCAAGGGCAAAAGGTAATTAGTTATTATTATTTATTCTAGTTGCAGTTTGATAAATACATTTATTTTTTGTTTATCTTATGTTGTATTCATTCTAGTTGTAGAATATATAATTTCAATTTAGTACTTTTTGTGTTTTTTCGAACTGAGCTTTTGTGAATAACTTATGTCATGATATAAAAGCATGTTTAGTTTAGATATTATTGATTATTTTTGTGAGTGAGTGTTTTATTATTGTTAATTTTTTGTTCTAATAAGAGTTAAAGCAGATGATTGTAGGAAGTTGTGTTTACAGTCATTGATGTTGAGACTGTCGTACGTCGCATGTAAAACATTGACTTCGAGAATATAGAGATTTTTAGAAGGTGGGCAGACGGTTAAGTGATAAAGATATAAATTGTGTGAGACCAGCGGAAACAACAGACAGACAATAGCAGAAGAGTTCAAATTCGATGACGAGGAACCCACTTTGAGACTAATAATGGCTGGAGACGGCTTGAATGGTAATGAAGAAAATATTTAATATAAATTTAACATAACAGCAAATGTACAA